GTTGTGGCTCTATCACTCTCGTTGGTGTTTGTGGGGGGGGGGGGGGATGAAGGAGATCGATCAGTGGCTGCTACTAAGTCCTGGTACCCAAATGAAGCCACCATGTGCAGGAGCAAGGTAACTCTGTGCACCGGTTGCTGGGGAATGCAGCCTCTCCACCCACTGCTGGTAGACCCCCCGGGACTCCGGAGGAGGCCTCTGCTGGACGCGGTCTGGTCTGCAGCATCCACCGTGGGGGTCGTCGTGCCAAGCAACTGGCGCGGGCCGGAGAGGCTGCCGGACTGGACGGGCCTGATCCAAGGGGGCCCTTGAGACTGACGGAGCCGCGCTTCGGAGCAGCTGCCGAGCGCGACGCCCGGCTCGGCCTTCAGTGCAGAGCGTAGGAAGAGGAGGAGCGAGCGGCGCGAAGAGGCAGCCCCGAGGCGCTTTGGCCTTGTGAACCGGCTCGGGCAAGCGGTGTTGCTTGGGAGGGAGGAGGAGGAGGAGCCCCAGCTGCCGCTGCCCGGGCGGGAGAGGGCGGCGGGCGGGCGGCGAGCTGCGCAGAGGAGGGAGAGAGCAGGCAGGGCCGGGCCGGGCTAGCCTCGCCTGCCTTTCTCCCTCCTTCGTGGGAGCCCCGCGCAGCCTCGCCTGGGACCGGCGCCAGAGGAGGAGCGATGGGGGCCGGCCGAGGTAAGCGTCCTGCTGCGGCACGGCCGAAGGCGGGGGTGGGGGGTGCGGGGCGCTGTCCACACAGGCCGGGGGGGCGCGCAGTCCCTGCTGGAGCCCCGGGGAGCCGCTGGTGTCTTCCTTCCTTCCTTCCCGGGCTGATCCGGAAGGGTCGGGAGGCTTGGCCGGCCCGCCCGTGACTTCTGGCGCCCGCTCCCAGTGCCGCCGTCGTCTCCGTCCCCGAACGTCCGAGCCGGCCGCCGATTTCCCCCCTTGCGGCTCCCTTCGCATAGTCCCGTCATTTGGGCTTTCCCCGCAACTGTGCCTGGCATGTATTGGCTGGAAAACGGGGTTGAGCCAAGGGTTCCGGCGTGGTGGACTGCTTGTCACGCTGGCATCTGGCTCGGGGCAGCCGAGCCGCCCTGTAAGACATGCCGGATCTGCCCGAAGGGGCACTAGGAGGACCGTCACCCTACTTTCCCCAGCGATCAAACCAGAGAGCTTGGAAAGCAGCCCCCCCCCCATGAAGGCAAGAGTGCTTTCTCCCTCTTTGTTAATACGACCTACACCTGGTATTCAGAGCCTCAGAGGTAGACTGCCTCTGAATATTGACGTTCCATTGAGCCGTCGTGGCTGGCAGCTGTCGCTAGCTCTCTTCTCACCAAATCTCTGTAATTCTCTTTGATGACCTGGGGAGGTGAGGTAGGCGGCCCTGCCATTTTTGAAGGGTGTATGCCTCCTCTGTACTTGAAACCTCTGTGATCTTTGGGCGGCTCCACATGGTGCGTGTTGTGTTATTATAGCAGCTTTTGAACTAGAGATTCATAAATCCTTTGGCTCTGCACAGGAAAGGTATGTGTCTAATCTGTGTTAACACTGCTAGAGATATTCTGATACAGACCCAGATAAACTGCAACGCAAGCCTTTAAAAGGCAACTCAACCTTGAATGTCGGCCTATGCGAGTAGAAATACTTGAGCTTGCTTTGCTTTGTGTTTGGAGGAGCCCTGCTGCTTACCTTCCCAGTTCCTCTTTCATACGCTTAACAACTTGCACTACTTGCTCTTATGATACCTCTCTGGTCCCCCTCTCTCTCACACACACACACACCCCTTCCACGCATATTTGAGAGCAAAGTGGGGATTCCAGTAACCTTTTTTCCAATCATGGAACCCGGAAGTGGAAGTCAATCCAGATTCAGGGCTGCCTGCAAAGGTGTGCAGTCAATCATCCACATGTGAGTCAAAGGACGCTGCCTTTTCAAGGGCTGAGACAGTCAGAGGGCACTCCTAAGCAGGTCTCCTCGGAATCCTACTCAGGTCAGGTCAGTGAGCCTTACTTCCAGAAAAGTGTCCTTAGGATTTCGTTGCCAAAAACATAACTTGAGACTTTTCCCTCTTATTTTCCCCCTGCAGAACATTGTGCTGGGGGGGGGGGGACCTTCCCGATCACTCGAGCCTTTACTGGGTGGCCTTTGAGTGAGCTGGCCATTATCTTTGTTTTTTGTGCTCTGATTTGCATAATTGTTTTATTTGCTGCCCCCAAATAAGTAATTCTTGGCTACATATTTATTTGCTCCTAAGGTTTTCTGTGCTATTTTAAAAGTCTTAACTGCTGCTAGATTTATGAGGTTTGGGAGTTTGATCAGTTTGTATTGATTGGCAATTGTGTTTTGACAGGCTTTTTAAATAACTGTTTTGTATTTTAGAATGTGTGTATGCGTGTGAGATCTGTATTCTGCCAAGACTTTTGGCTGTGCCAGTATGCAAAGAATTTAAATAATAAGTAAAAGTCTCCTTTTTATTGTTGTGCCCTCTCCCCTTGTCTGTCACACTGAAAGTATACCTTGATGCTAGTCCACCATGCCTGATGCCCATCTGGTGGACATGACAAACGAATGTGGAGCCAGTGTGGTGTAGTGGTTAAAGTGTTGGACTAGGATCTTGGAGATCCAGGTTCGAATCTCCACTCGTTCCATAGAAACTTGCTGAATGACCTTGGGCCTCTCTCTCTCTCTTTCTCTCTCTCTCTCTCACACACACACACACACACACACACACACAGAGAGAGAGCCTGGCCTACCTCACGGGGTTGTTGTGAGGATAAAACCAAGGAGAGGAGAATGATTTGGGTCCCCATTGGGGTGAAGGGCAGAGTATAAATAAAGTAAGTAAATAAACTTGAACCCCGAACTCCCTGCCTTATACTCTGCTCACTGCTTCGTGCTGCCATTGATTCAGAAATGCTCCAGATGTAGCATCACTTGGGAGGATTTAAAAAAAATGCCCCAGGCCTTTGAGTGCTGAAATGGCCATCCAGGCATCTCTCAGCACTGTTGGCGCAGCAGAAGCAAAGTGGCCAGGCTCCTTTCTATTTGTCCCCGTTAGTGTCATCTTGTTCTTCGGGGGGGGGGGGGACATTCTAAGCTAGCAAAAACTGAACCCTATTACTGTAACGTGCCTCAGCAATGGAGTTGGACCCGATTTCCAGCTGTTTTCAAGATGACATTGTTGCGACTTCTGAGCCGATGTGGCTTGAAGCGGGGGGGGGGAGACGACGGTTGTCTTCAAGGCATCCATTTGCTGACGTGATTCTATTATCCCTCAATTTCTTGGCTGCATGCTCAGAGCAAGCAGGCCAAAAGGAAGTCAGAGAGGGGGAGAGGAAGAGAGAGAGAAGCATCCAGACGACGGACTGTGGCTGGTCCAAGTGACTGGTCCAAGTGAGAGCCATGCAACGTGTAGTGTTTGTGTTTCCAAATGAGCAGGGTTTGGCCATGTGCACTCCAAATGCCTCAAAGCATCGACTTCACAATCATCAAAAGGTGTGATAATTAATATGAATGCTCAGCATTTCTGCGGCGCTTCTGAGTATTCAAAGCTGGCCCTGCCCATCCTCACAACAACTCTGTGAGGTGGGCTGGAGGGGTTACTCCCCCCCCCAAACTGCAGATGGGAGGCAGAGAAAATAAAGATGTGGCTGAAGCTCTTTGGTGCATTTGTGGCTGATGCGAGACTTCAGGTGTGCAGTCTGAACATCCCGGAGTGATCCAGGCACAGTCCCGTGGGACCTTCCTGTAACTCATGGAGGGGGGAGCTTCCTTGTTTTGCAGATGTTAAAATGGGAAAGTATAGTTCATTGGGGGTATGCGTACATTGCAAATGTAAAACTAGTTTTCGGGGTTCACGTCTTCCCCAGGAGATCCTACTTGCCTTGTTGTTTAGAGCTACGTTATGCCCTGGGTGATATACAGGACGTAGAAGGAATACAGTAACCTCTGGCCTAGAGTACAGACATTAGATTAAGGATGGCCAAACACTGGAACCTGAACGTTAGGAGTTTGGAGGGTTGTTTTGGTGCCATCTTGGGGTCTGCCCATGGCAGGCAAAAATCCAGTAGGTGTAGTTTCTCCCCTAGCAGGAAGATAATGGTGGGGAGCAGAACTGCATTGCCTGAATTCCTATCTGTCTGGCACATGTTGAAGGCTGAGGAATCGCTGTTTGTCAAAGATGGCAATCCTCATGCACACCTGGTCTTGAGCTATCAGCACTTTTTCTATGAGAAGGCATTACCAGTCAGGGGCGCAGGTGCCTGCAGAGGGGATGTGTGTGTGGGTTGCCTGCCACACCCTCCGCTCAGCACTTTGCCATCAGGTCCTGGTTCCTGAGTGTCCTTTGGCAAGGTGGTGTTGGTGGTGACTCTTTGGTTTGAAGTATGTACCTCTGCCATATTAAAGTGACCCAGCCCATTCGGCATTCTGCCATCCGTAAATTACCATGCTTCGCCTCTCCTCCATCCCTCCCTCTCACAATCATACAGCAGTGCACCCACTTATGCTGTCTTTTTGACTGATGGGAAACTGAGGCTTGGAGGCTGTGGCCTGTCCAGATCAACCCCTGGTGGTTCATGTCCTAAGTGCGCAAAATAGCTCAAATGCATTGTGTGCTGGTAACTGAACTGGGATGGGGAGGTGTCTTCCCAGCCCACTGTTGTCTAACAAGCCCCCTACACTGGACCTCTGGCTGACCAGGGATTTGAACTTGCCTCTCCCTGCCTTGCAGTCTATCTCCTCCAATCCCCATGTAATTTGAGCCAGGCTTGAGTCATGTTTAGCTTTGGGATGGACAGAGCCTTTGAGCATTTGCAGAGTGCATACTACTCTCTGTGTATGTACGTACTTAGCGTATTTTCATCCTGCTCTTTCTCCAAGCAGATCAGTGCAGTGTGCATTGCTTTCCAGGCCTCTATTTTATCCTCACAATAACCCTGTGAGGCAGGGTGGGCTAAGATTCTTGCCCAGCTTCACCCAGCATGCTTCATAGCAGAGTGAGGATTTGAACCTGGGTCTCCCACATCCCAGCACAACACACTGTGACCTTGCTGGCCACTCATCTCCACATCTGAGAGATCAGGGCTCCATAGCAAAAGGTTGTGGCTTTTATGCAGGCCATGGCTTCAGCACTTTACTGTTGCTAGATGAAGCATATTGCTGCTGACATTGTCATAGGCCAAAAGGAGTCTGGTCCAGTTTGCGGACAATGCTGTGCATTCTCTGCCTTCACATTCCAAACCCCCCCCCCACCCTAAACTCTGGGCTGGTTTGCATAATTTCTTTTTAACACTGCTTGGTTTATGCTGCAACAGTTACTGATTTGCATAATACTTTTTTCATACCACAAATGATGGGGAAGTGTAAAGAGTGGTGTAGCACACTGATGTGCACCATGAGGACCAGAAACATGGCTCCCCCCCCCCATAATGAATGCCAAAAGCCCAGTTTTCCAGTGCCAGAGTTTTAATCGGCATTGGCCATGTGTGTACCTTTGCAAGCCATGAGGTCTAGAAGCTTTCTTTGATTCATGTGTATACCTTTGCAAGCCATGAGGTCTAGAAGCTTTCTTTGATTCAGTGAGGACTGAGATTTCCCAGGAAACGGGATTCTGCTTGCGCATGCACCCACACATTCAGAGTCCTAGCTCTAAGTCTTTTGCAACTGTCCAAAGCGGGGAGGCTTGCTGAATATCT